CAAATCAATATAAATTATTCGAATCATTTGATTTTATTAAAAATTCTTAAAAAAAAAATTATATAATTAATTACCTCTTCGCCACTTAACGGCGATTGAAAATCGTTGACGTTTGTGTGAGAAAAGCATACAATATTAACTCTTAATCCTCTTTTATCACACAACTCATTGGTCATAGTGCGATAATCTTCATTATCTTCACACACAAATGTCTTTTAAAATATATTTGTATATATATTAATGCATATATTTGTATACATTTGTATTGTTATTACAAATATCTATTAATATAATAGTAGTGATTCCCGATATAATAGTAATAATAATAACTTACACTCAAATTATATCCAATTGCATTTTCAATAGCATCAGCATATCTTGTATCTTTAACATCGATTTCCATACAAATTGGAAAATAAACATGTTTTTTGAATGAAGAACGATTATTCTTCAACCATTCAATAGCCTCAGTTGTTGCACGGTCACTTCGAATTCTTTCAGCTCGACGCAATTTCAAATCATTAATTCGTTCTAATCTAAATTAAATTAATCATTGTGTGAATTTGTTATGTATTTTCAGAAATACATGTTTTATGTATATTTAAATATATGTGGTGTGTGTAGATATCATATAAAAATTATAATTACTTATTGTGCAAACTTCTAATGTGCCCTTGAATAGGTGATATTTCTCTGTTGAGATCATCTTGTTTATACGAATTATTATCGAGATTATCATTTAAATCACGTAATTTAAGCGAAAGTTGTTCCTAAAAATCATCATAATTCATATCATGAGTAAAACTAACAAAAATTATAGAATATTATTTGTATATTATACCAATTTATTATTTATATCTAATATATCCTCATCGGATGATTGATTTCTTGTGGATTCTTCTAATCGTGCTATTTCTGATTTAATTTGAGCAATTCGTTCATTTCTATATTTAACTCTTTTTTTAACAGATGACAACTCTCTACGTATTTCATCTATCACATTATCCTATATTTATACATGCTTATTATTTTTTTTAACTTCAAATAGAATTCTTTCAAATTATTCATGTTTTCTCGCCCATTCTTTCTTTTCTTCCTTTTCTTCATACATTCTTTCTCTCCCATTTAATCGACTAACTAATTAATCAATTATTAATCTATCAATATTTAATTTTTTTAACACATAAATATCAATAAAATAAAAATTTATCTTCAAAATAAAGTGTGTAATTTTGATTTTATCACATGTGTAGTGTGCAAATCCTACTCGTAATTCAAAGTAAGTTAGTATTTGACGCGAACATATTTCTCGTGTTAACGAAAATTTTGGTGACACAAAATCTATATACAAAATTTCATTGTTTATAATTTATATATAAAAATAATATAATTACAGAAAATGAATGATATTAGCAGTTACCAAGAAGGTTCCATAGTTCGTGTTTCTTTAAAGAACTTTGTAACATATGATTCAGTAGAATTTAATCCTGGGCCAAATCTTAATATGATTATTGGACCTAATGGAACTGGTAAAAGTACTATAGTTTGTGCCATTGCCCTTGGTTTGGGCTGGAATACCTCGGTTAGAATTAAATTTTTCGTATTATTATATTATTGTTATATTGCAATTATAATTAAAGTTAATGTTAAGAGTTGGAATTATAAGAATAATTATTAATGAATATTTTATTTAATTAATTATTTCCTTTTCCCTTCGAAAAAAATAAAGCTCCTTGGACGTGCAAAAGACATTTCAGATTTTATAAAACATGGACAAGATCGTGCCTCGATAGAAATTGAGTTGAAATGCAAGGATGATAATGTGGTGGTAACGCGTCTTCTCACAAAGGTTGATAATAAAACTCTATGGAAGTTAAATGGTAAATTTTTCATCAATACAATATTTATTATATGGTGTTGGTTGATTCATTATTTTATAATTAATGATATAAATGTTTATTAATATGCTTTTAAAGGTGAGAAAACCACACTTAAAAATATTCAGAGTACGGTCGAGTCTCTCAATATACAAGTTGATAACCTTTGGTAAAAAATTTATTAAAATATTCATAATATTACTATTTGTAATAAAAATAATACTAATAAACATTTATAATTACTTATATAGCCAATTTCTTCCCCAAGATAAAGTTAGCGAATTTGCACATGTAAATAATAATAATAATAATAATAGCAATAGTAGATGACATAATATTGTTATTAATTGTAATGATCGCAAAAATAATAATAATAAATATATAAATATAAATATATATATATATATATTTATTTCTAGATGAAACCACCAGAATTATTGGTACAAACTCAAAAGG